CTATGCTACTTGTATCAAGTCGATCTTTTAGTTATGGTTTTTCATGAAATACGGTTCAAATTAGGTACAAAAATGCCCAAAACTGTATCAACATGAGCACAGTATACAAATGGTTTCTACCAAGAGATTGAAGCTTACTGTACTATTTATTTAGAATATTTATATCCTGCCTTTCTGTCTGACAACACACCTCCAAGGCAGCTTACAGTAAAAGAGAATATGATGCACAATAAATTTAAGATTTGTTTTTAAAAATAACATGATAGTGCTAGCTAGTGTAGGTTCTGTATTCCACCCTCAGCTCTTTAAAGAGTTTGCACTGACCACATGGGAAAAGAGAGCTTCCTTCTCACTGTAAGTGAGCTCCCTAGCAATGGGAGCCAAGTAGCACCCTATGTTTTCTCTTCTTAGCTTGATAGTCTCTGTCTACTGGTTCTACTGTACTTACTGTGCCCCCCAGCAGCAGTGGTGACTTTGAAATTAAAGGGTGTCTCTGGACTGTGTTTTAATGCTGCTGGAGTTAGGTCCTTTTCTGCCTCCTGCTCCAAGCAAAATTAGTGGGTGCTAAAAGAGACAAATCTGAGTAGTCAAAGCACAATTAATATACTTTTCTTTGTTCTAATACCCAATGCTGTCTTATAATTCTTGGATCTTTGAAGTGGTGAATGTTTGTTCCTAATCACTCATTTAATTTGACTGCATTTACTAAATCACAATCTAGACCAGGGTTCTAATTACTTTCTTACCTGGTGTCCTTTGGTGAACAAAAACTGACTCTGGGTAGTTTCTCATTTAGTCTGAAAGAATTTATGAGAAAGATGATCCCATGCAGAACCAAAAAATTCTGGTACTCTGTATCTGAAAGTGAGAGTGAAAGGTATCACAAACACTAAAGGGACACTCCTATTTCTTCTTGAAAGAAAAGTTGGGGTGTACAGAGAGCAGGATAGTGAAGAATCATGTTTAGGGTAAGACTAGATGAGACCATAGTTCCCAACTCCATGTTTCTTTCCTAAAACTCATGCTGCTGTGTCCAGAGGACACAACCATTCCTTTGACCTCAGTCTTTTCTTATAGATATAAGTTTTTCTATCCTAACCAGGGTCAAAAGTGAGTTCTGCTAGGAAAAAAACAGCCAGTTGCTGCTTTTTGAGTGTTGCAAAAATGAAGATGTGAGACGTTAAGCACATAATCTTCCTGCTTGCCTATTTTCCCCTTGGAAGTGGCATTGCAGCCCCCACATTCTCATCAAATGGTGGGGGTAGGGGACTGAAATAATGCATTTGTCAATATTGCATCAAATTCTAGTCTCGGGCAATGGATGATCACCCCATGAACGTCTGTTGCCTTTAGGATTTAACTTAGCCTCTTTAGGCTCTAGTTGTAAATGCAAACTACATAATCCTGAATTTAACCCTCTCTTGTAAGCATTTCAGTTTTGAACATAAAGACTGAGAGACAAAGCAGCACAAGGGAGATAGTATTCCACAGAACCACTAGTATGTTGTTTATTGTCGTGTAGTTCATGGGCATTGTTACAGAATTGAATAGGTGTTACCTTGAGCACAACTGTTTAGCGTGGTTGTAAATCACAGGGGAGCCGGTCAAAGAAAACATCTTCTGTAGCAGCTTATTTTTCAGGGAAAACTTTTGCTGAATTGCCACAGAATTTTATGTACTACATGCCAGTTATTTGGAGAGGTTGATCATTCCATTCACAAAAAATGGAAAAGGAGTGTTTGGCACTGTCAATGTGGAAAACAAAATGTAATGAAAAAGTCAGCCTGTTTGTCTGGGTCATCCATTTTTCTGTTTGCATGACTAGCCATCTTCAGGTGACAACAATCTATGAAAGGTCCTTCCTGGTTTCAGTTGTTGGTTTGCACATAGCCTCCTGCTTGCTTCTTCTCACCAGTGGGAATGGCTAAACTAACCAGGACACACACCCTGTGTATAAATTTGTATGGAATCATTAGTTGCCCATGCTAATAACAACCACGGTTTTCCAGGAATCCTGGTATAGTTTACAAGCTGCCTGTTTGCTCTGGCTTGCTCAGACAGGAAACCAGGACATGAGAGTTTAGCATGTTGTCTGACCAGGGCTTTTGGCTTGTTCTGCAGCTTATAAGAAAATCACAAACTAGGAGTTGTTGTTGGCTTACAATTCCTGGCTTCCTTGGAACCAGCAGGCCAGAAGCGCCTGTCTGGATGACACACAAAGTGCTGCTTCTTTCCTGGTTAACTTTGGAAGGAGCCAAACAAGACCAAAAGAACAGAATATAGCAGCACAAGCCAAGATTCTCCATAATTCTAGTTTATTGTTTAGTGTGAACACAGCTGTTATCTATTTAATATTAGATTGTTTGGAAAGAAAAGGATACCAGAAAAAGGGAAGCTGTCCTAAATAAGAGGCACTTCCTTTTGTTGGAGAGCTCCAGTACCATACAAGGACACCTGGTGTCTGAATTATATAAGCGCAATATATTATATGTCTTTCACAGGTAACCAGAGACATTTTTCTTATAATTTTAGGAGCTAAATAGCATGTAAGCCAGTGGTTCTTGATACAGCACCATGACTTACTGAAGTGTCTGTAGATCGCTCCCTTGGCACCTGCAGAGCACTTGACTTTCCCAATTTTAATTGCTCAAAAAAATTATCCTCTCCACCCCCGGAGAGCAGGACATATTTCAGTGAAAACCTTCTGAAACCTACCATCTTAATTTCTCTAGATATTAATTTCTAAAAAAAATAAAGATGACTAGTGACTGGAGGCTTGCACTTTGCTTTGGAGTGCACCACACTGTCCAGGAAGAATGCTGAAAGAAGAAAAACAAATGCTAAGGGGGCTATTGAGAAAATTCTGGGTCTCTTGCACTACAATTGGGATGCCCACAGCGCTATGGGAGCTGCAATTGGGAAAGTGACAAGAAGGTCCACATGGTACCTGGAGCTATGGTCAAGAGAATGAAGCCGAAGTGGTCTATGGGGCACTGGATTGGAGACGGCCAGAAAGCCTCCGTGGGTGAAAAGGGAAATAGGAGGTTTGGGGAAGGCAATGTGGAGAGTGGGGTTGGGAATTTATATTGAAATGTTTTGAAGAAATTGATTGGCCTTCTGTAAAATGATTGTTCTTTTCAAGCAGACAGATGTGGGTTCGATAAGCAGTCATGTCTTTTGAGACTCTATCCTCACCAATGCTTTATACTCAGGTGTTTAGACAAGTAGCTTCCACTTTATCCATACCCGTTTTTGCCTTTCTGTGTATAATAAAAGCAGAAGATTAAAATATAACATAAGCATTCAGTATGCAAAGTGTAAAACAATGTTGTTCAGAATAGCTCACCACTATGATAAGAGGGTAATTCTTCAAATATTCATATTTCTAGCAATCCCAGGAGAAATAGGTAAATCTTAGGGCTCATCTGCATGGGAGCTATTTCTGCTTTCAGTTTAGTCCTTTAGTACCAGGCTAGCAATTCAGGCAAAATCCCTTGAAAAAGAAAAGGCCGATGAAATAGAGGACTACATGTACAGCTGGTGGAGGTCCTGCTGTTGTCTCCATCTGCCCCACAGAGTGTGAGGGATCAGAGTGAGTCTGAAAACCTATTAAGTCTGTATGTTTTCAAGATAAACACACTGAGTTAGTGCATCTAGCCCCCAAAGAAAGCCCCCATGCAGCTGCTCCCTTTGTGTTTGAGCTGCAAACAGGGTAAGAAGTGTTAGCTACACTGTTGCTTTGTCTACATGCTTGCATACTATCTTAAGTGTTGTCAAATTAAGTAATCTGGCTTTAGAAAATAGGTGCACTAGTCAGGTTATTTGGTTGAATGCCATGAACTGCTATCTTCTAAATTTACAGTGTTTTCACAAAGAAAATGTCCATGTTTAGTTGATATAATAAATGTGCACTTTTTGTGTTGTGAAGGGGGATGTACAATTCAGGTGAGGTTTTTTGTTTTTTTAAACTTTCTTTACATTTTTATTGCCTTGGTGCCTCACCCCAAAACAGAACACTGTGTTTCGATATACACAAGTAATTGTTGCAAGATGCATATCCTGAGTAATGCCCAGGATTACTGTGATAGCACAATATGTTCAGGTTTAAGATGCGGTATTAAAATAATATATTGTATGATTTGTTGTATTTGCCAATAACTGGTGAAAGTTGTGAATGAGCACATTGAGATGGACTCTACTGAATTTCAAAGGGGGGTGATGCATACTTTTCTGTGGCACTTTAAAATGACAAAATACTATCTGTCACTGCACTAAGAATTTCCCTGACAAAGCAGTACCATTCAGGTCAGACAGAGTTGGAGCCTATCTTGTTTACACATGTGAGAACAATGATTTGGTATTTAAGGCCTTCCAGGCATTGATTCCCATAGTACTGTTCCAGTCCTCTTGCTTGCTGGTACAATTTGCTATGGTGTAGCCCTCATTTCAACCAGTAGTACAATTTAAATATTAGGCGTACAGGAAACAACAATAGGAAAAAAAACAAGCTTGTCTCTTTCTTGTCAATTATATTTTACACTTGGGCTTGACTATTACTAATATAGTAATATTATTTCCTATTATTTCAAAAGAATCCTATGAGGTAGGACAGTTATTTTTTCTCATTTTGCAATTTGGAACTGAGGCAGTGGTGCTGTTGATATGTGCAGTATGGTTGCTTCCTGAAAGATTGCCATGTGGTAGAAGCTTCCCATGGGGAGCAGTTGTAATTGGTATGGTGAATTTCTTCCACACCAAATGGGGAACCACTTCAAACAAATTGCTTGCCATATGGTGTTTTCTCGCTTGTATTTTATCTGGCTATCACTGTGAAGTTTGATATTCTAATAGGTGATCAATATAGAAAATATATACAATATGGCACTTCAAATCTTATGTGCAGTATTCTATAAATCCCAGTCTTGTAATTTATGTGGTTCTGGGAAGATTATCATATGCTTTTAGCTCAAACCAACTCTGTCTTTTCTTTATTGTTCCAGCTCCGATTGGGTGGAGATCATTGAGCCCCGTTCCCGGGAGCGAATGTATGTCAACTTGACAACTGGGGAATGTGGCTGGGACCCGCCACCCAACCTCAGAGTCCGTCAGTCTGATGAGAACCAGTGGTGGGAGCTCTTTGACCAAAACAACAACCGTTTCTATTACTATAATGCCATCACACAGCAGACAGTATGGCATAGGCCACAGGGCTGCGACATTGTACCACTCGCTCAGCTTCAAGCCATGAAACGCAATTCCCAGTCTGAATTCAGGACATCCCAGCAGAGGGGCAGCACAAGCAGTGATGGACGAAACACTCCCATTCAAATGACTCTTGTACAGGACTTGGAGAAGGATAAACAGGACAACAGCCTGGAGAAGAGGTCAGAGACTGGCAGGTAAACAGTGTTCATAGTTTTCTGTCTTGTAACAAGTTAAAGCAACCCATCCATATTCCTGCTTCCAGAAAAATTATAAAGCAGGAACAATCCTGTAAGGCAATCTGATTGCTGACTGCTGAAAAGAAGGTAAGCCTTCTTGATGCTGTTCTGTTCTATTCAAGAGAATAGCCCTAGGAAAATAATTTTGTGCAAAAGTGATTGGATAGAAGCTCTTAGTAGATATAACACTAAATCTCCTTGTAAGGATTTATCTCTGCTGAACTAGAATGTTCAATCTAGATTAAGAAAACCAATTCAAATTCCCAGCCAGGCATAAAACTCATGTGTAGTCTTAGGCACTGTATACTCTTATCTCACAGAATATTTGTAAGTTACACTGGACCCCTTGGTGAAAGGGTGAAATACAAATGCCATAGCAATTGGCAGTAAGTCTCCAGTTGGACAGAAAATTATGCTCAAGATGATTATGGGGGAAAGACATGAGTTGTTGCACAGAAAAGAATGCAGTTACCAAAGATATCTTCACTAACTTTACATTTTAAAAAATGAGAGGTATGACTTGAAACAAGTGTGAATGGCTTAGTTAACTAACATTGGTAAGCATCATCCTGTTCTTTATAAACACTATCCAGTGCTGCCACTGCCAGTACTCTAGCAACAAAGTCTGCTAGTGAAATGGGAAATTAGTACTGACTAGTGCAACCAGAACTACTCCTTCCAAAATAGTCCAAATCAGCAGAGTTTATGGAAGGGAGCTCCACCCATCTGTCCCATTAGAGAAACAGCAGTTTCAGGTAATGTGCTGGATTGCACTAAGAAATGCTAATTTCCTGTTGTGGTAGCAGTTCTTTTCTGCTAGTGTAATGTGTTTAGACCTGGTATATTGCCAGCATTAGACACTTCCTCATGTGATTAGCAAGTAAGATGTATAAATCTTATAAATTGTCATAAAATATGAAATACATCCATATGCAAGTTACTTAGAAGTAAGCCTACTATGTTTTAATGATGCATATTCACAGGTAAGTGTATAGAGGACTGGAGGCTTAAACTGTCTTGCTGTGAGTAGGTCATTTGTGCTTTCAGCCATCTTTCTATCAGTGAAGAATTGTAATTTATAATATATAACAAACTTTCTAAGAATATACCTGTGTAAAAATAAGTATGCCCAGAAATTGCTTGGACAGATGTAGAGGCTATCACTACTCAGTGATATTTTAGGTCAGGTAGTACAACAGGGGTGTTAGGTTTTTAGTTTGTCATCTTTTCTCTGCTTTGCAAGGTCTCTGTGTTCACAAATGGAACTTAAAACTTTACTTAAAACTTTATTATTTATTTATTAAAACTTTGAAGTTTATTTCTGTTTCCTTGGCTTTACTGATCTTCAGAGTTTTAATATGTGAGTTAAAGCCAACTTTCTCTGTGATGCAAGGTCAGCTGAACTGTAATGCAATTGGATTAGAGGCAGTTCAGATGTAATAACCACCACTTGTATTTTGTTTTCATTGTGTGAAACACTAAAGTACAATCCATTCATCTTTCCAATTAACCTACCTTTTTACAGTAGCTCTAAAAAAGTAGGTTACTTGTGTCTTGTGCATTTTAAAATACATAAGGATAGCCCTGTGTCCAAATGTTTCTATGTAAGCTTGCCCTTCCAGTAGAATGAAGACTTTTGGTTTCATCTGTTTCAAAGTACAATAAATCATCTGATCTAGAGCACTGTGTATCTGTGGCATGGACACAGATATGGAGACCAGTGATATCACAAGTGCCGTTTTTCACAGATAATGTACTTTGCTCATTAGAAATTGCAGAATGCAATTCATTTCAATTCTGTGAACATAGTTACCCAAAGCTTTTGAAAGACATTTGAAACATGATTAGAGTGGGTACAGTAAAAATGCCATTTTCCTCTAAGAACTGTCCTGTTGGATCAGGCCAATATTCCAGAAAATCTTAAGAGTCCAGTGTTCTGTTCCCAACAGTGACAAGGAAATGGCTTTTGGAAACTCAAAAGCAGAGCTTGAAGGCAGCAGATACCCCCAACTGCTTTGTCCCCAGCATGTCTTTCTCACAGGTATACTGCCTCTGAACCTATTCAGTTTCCCTCTCTCTTGCATTGACATAGGCATAACACTTTGAAAAGTGAGATGGCGTTCCTTAAGTAGGTTCCTCAGACTTGGAATGTAGAAATCCTTTCTTCAGACTGCAGCTGTCAACTTCATTTTTTCCTGTTCTCTTTCTGGATATGCCTTGGTAGAGTATGTCTTTCAAGGTATAGAGAACAGTGCTTAAAAGTCACAGTGTTTACAGATCTCAAAAACTCATTTAAGAAACAATGGGAGAGTTTGCATTACACAATAAGCCACCCATCCTTTCCCCATTGTCACAATTTCTAAATTTGCTATACACACATCCTTAAATAGTCATATATTTGCCACCTTAGAACTAATTTCCATGAGAAATTTCCTGTATTTCATCTCCTTTCAAGAACTTTCTAAGCAAAATGGTACTGCACCAGATCATGATTACTGTTGGTATGACTACCTTTTTACTAACTAGAACTCATAGGCGTATGTTGTTGTTGTTGTTAGTCGCGAAGTCATGTCCGACACATCACGACCCCATGGAAAACATTCCTCCAGGCCTTCCTGTCCTCCACCATCCCCCGGAGTCCACTTAAGCTCACACCGACTGCTTCAGTGACTCCATCTCGCCACCTCATTCTCTGCCGTCCCCTTCTTCTTTTGTCATCTATTGTTCCCAGCATTAGGCTCTTCTCCAGGGAGTCCTTCCTTCTCATTAGGTGGCCAAAGTATTTGAGTTTCATCTTCAGCATCTGGCCTTCTAAAGAGCAATCAGGGTTGATCTCCTCTAAGACTGACCGGTTTGATCACCTTGCGGTCCAAGGGACTCGCAGGAGTCTCCTCCAGCACCACAATTCAAAGGCCTCAGTCTTTCGGTGCTCAGCCTTCCTTATGGTCAGGCTTTCACAGCCATTCATTGCAGCTGGGAAAACCATAGTCTTGACTATACGCACTTTTGTTGGCAGGGTGATGTCTCTGCTTTTTAGTATGCTGCCTAGATTTGCCAAGCTTTCTTCCCCAGGAGCAAGCGCCTTTACTTTCTTGGCTGCAGTTCCCATCTGCAGTGATCTTGGAGCCCAGGAAAATAAAATCTGTCACTACCTCCATTTCTTCCCCATTTGCCAGAAAGTGAGAGGACCGGATGCCATGATCTTAGTTTTCTTAATGTTGAGTTTCAAGCCAACTTTTGTGCTCTCCTCCTTTACCCGCATCAAGAGGCTCTTTAGTTCCTCTTCACTTTCTGCCATGAGAGTGGCATCATCTGCATATCTGAGGTTGTTGATATTTCTCCCAGCAATCTTAATTCCAACTGGTGATTCATCTAGGCCCGCCTTTCTCATGATGTGCTCTGCATTTAAGTTAAATAGGCAGGGCGACAGTATACAGCCTTGCCAAACTCCTTTCTCAATTTTGAACCAATCAGTGCTTCTGTGTCCAGTTCTCACTGTTGCTTCTTGACCCGCATATCGGTTTCTCAAGAGACAAATAAGATGGTCTGGTACTCCCATGTCTTTAAAAACTTGCCACAATTTGTTGTGATCCACACAATCAAAGGCTTTAGCATAGTCAATGAAGCAGAAGCAGATGTTTTTCTGGACCTCCCTAGCTTTCTCCATGATCCAGCATATGTTGGCAATTTGATCTCTAGTTCCTCTCCCTCTTCGAAACCCTGCCTGTACTTCTGGTAGTTCTCGGTCCACATACTGCTGGAGCCTAGCTTGTAGGATTTTGAGCATAACTTTGCTAGCATGCGAAATGAGTGCAATGGTGCAGTAGTTTGAATATTCTTTGGCATTGTCCTTCTTTGGGATCAGAATGTAAACTGACCTTTTCCAATCCTATAGCCACTGCTGAGTTTTCCAAATTTGCTGGCATATTGAGTGTAGCACTTTTACTGCATCATCTTTTAGGATTTTGAATAGCTCAGCTGGAACGTTGTCGTCTTCACTAGCTTTGATGTTGCTCAGACTTCCTAAGGCCCATTTGACTTCACATTCCAGGATGTCTGGCTTGAGGTCAGTGACCACCCCATCATGGTTATCAGGGACGTTAAGCTCTTTCTTGTATAGTTCTTCTGTGTAATCTTGTCACCTCTTCTTAATCTCTTCTACCTCTGTTAGGTCCCTGCCATTCTTCATCATGGCCTCTGTGCATCACACATATGGGAGCTGCGCCTGCGCAGTGCCTTTAGCTGGAAGATTACAAGCTAACGGTTTATTTTGGCGGAAAAAAAGCTCCGCTCCCCCTCCCCCACAGCCTAGAAAGAGCAGAGTGTCCGCCATTTTGTTCAGTCTTTGCGACCGCCGTTCACTGTGCCTCGTGCCGCTTTCGACTATCACTTTGATCATTACTCGTAGCCTGTTTTTTCTCCTTTTACTCCCAGTTTTATATCCCTGATAGTTCTTGTTAGCTCTAGTTATTTCTACAGTTCTTCTTAGCTCTAGTTATTCTGCAGTTCTACCGTTCTATTTTTTTCTTCTAAAAAAAAAAAACCAAAAATATATTCTTACCCTCTGCACTGTCTCCCTTTTTCTTCTTCTTCTTGCGATGGCGCTGCGAGCGGCCTTCCGCAAATGTGCGGAGTGTGAGTCAAAGATGTCACCATCTGACCCACACGACCTGTGCCTCCTCTGCTTGGGGGAGGGGCATAGGACTGACAGGTGCTCCCACTGTCTGGCCTTCTCCAAGCAGGCCAGAAAAAATCGGGAGAACCACCTCGGAGGCTCCTGTGGGATCGGGCTCTTATGCAGTCCGACCCACTGGTTGCCGCTCCGAAGCCTGGCCCAGCTGCGGTCGTCCTGCCCCCCCGCCCGTCGGACGAAGGTGCCTCTACATTGAGGGCCCCACCAGCTTCTCCCAAAAAGAAAAGCGAGAAGCGCAAGCACGCCGATGCTGACGAATCTGCCA